CAGGGCGCACAGCCCCCCGCAGGCGCAGCTCGCTCCCGCGCCAGGAGGTGGCAGCACCGCCGCGCCCGACCGGCGCCTCCGAGCCCAGCGCGGCGGGGAGGGGGCGCCGCGAATGCGCTCCCTGTGCCCCAGCTGCCGTGACCCCGCTCCCTCGGGGTCTCTGTGATGGGTCGCTGCTCTGCCGGGGTCCCGGGGCTGACCCTTGCTTCTCATCAGCAGTTTTCCCGTCTCCTTTCCTTTGCCCTGTCCCGTTCTCGCCGCCAGCCGTGCCAGGGGCCAGCCCGGGGCCAGCCGCGCCTCACGGCACGCTCGGCTGCCCGGCCCGGCTGCCCGTGCCACAGCGCGCCCTCCTCGCCCTCATGCTCCAGAGCCGCAACGCTCACATGAGGCAGCCCGCAGTGAGAGTTTCATTAATAAGACTCCTGTTTCCTCTTCCCTGTGGGAAGAGATGGGGGAACAAGGAAAGGGGAGAAAACGGGTGTGGGGCCAGGAGGGACTTTGAGGAATCACCTTGGCACAGAGACACACTGGGAGCTGCCAGCCACCTCGGATAGCCCAGGAGAGGGGTGCCTCTGAGGGGAATCTCTTCTCCTTGCAGCCCTGGGGTGAGCTGAACCCCACTAGCTCTTGCACAGAATGCCTCGATGCCAGCCAGGCTGTGCTGAAGTTACCACCATTCCCATCCCGCTGGTGAGCCCTTCCCACCAGGGCTGGCACATCGCCTCTGTATCAGGGCCCAAACAACGCCAGTGTGCCACCATGGGACCTGGTGACACCCCCAGAGAGTTCCCAGGGCTCATTTCAAAGCAGAAATTGTCCCCAGAAATCATTTAACCCCTTTTCTACACCTTTCCACACTAACAGGGATGGCTTTTAGCCTCCTTCCCACAAGGACAGAGCTGATCCTGAGGTTTTGCCTGCCCTGTTTGCTCTCAGCTCTGCCTCCTGTACCCAAGTCCTCCCCCACCAGTATGTGTGGACATTGCCAATAATTTCTAGCACATTTCCTTGCCACAGCTGGCCTGGAAGTGGGGTCCACACTGCCCCAAGGTGGGCTTGCAGAAGGAGACACGGCTTTCCCAACTTTTGCAGTCTCGGCCTGCCTGGCAAGCCTGGCACTGCGGCTCCATGGAGAGCTTTGTAAGATCAAAAAAGGGGTTTCTCTTTTTGCCACTCATGGCGGTTTGTTCGGTCGTTCGCAGTCCGTTAAACGACGCTTAAAGAAAACAAAAAAAAACAGTTCAAAAAATAAAGCCTTGAAACAGACGGGGCCATTCCGCGCGTTTTTTGATTATATCTCCCACTTGTTGGCCTGCCTCCCCCACACCTCTGCGAGCCTCGGGAGCCGTGTCCCACCTGGAGATGTATGGACCTGCAGATGAAACACCATTAGCCGGATGCTTCTGCTAATGGGCTCATCAGCAGAGCAATTAGCACTGCTTCAGGCGGGCCGGCAGTTATTGTTTCTGGCCTGGAGTTATTGTTAATGGTCACTGCATCCCAAAGCTAGCAAAGGGAAAGGCTGGGAAGCTGAGTCACGTACCTGGGTCCGTCATTGAGTCCTGTACTGGGGCTGTGCTCAGATCTGACCACGAGGGTCCTGCCTCGCCAGGGCACAGGAAGGGAATGCAGGGAATCAGGGACAGCCAGCAGTGACCGGGAGCCCAGGGCTTCTGTGCCCTGGAACTCTGGCATCACTGTCCTGTCACTACAACACCATCACCCACCTCCAACTGTGTGGATACCAGGGATGTCCAGGCTACCAAGCCTGTGCAATCTGCCACCAAGCAACTGGGGGAGAGATGTGCCCCCACATTTAGCCCTGGCAGGAGGGCTCCCTCCAGGCCAGCTCCTCGCCCACCTCAGGATGCTGGGGAAGGATGCACTTTACCCATGCCCTGGCTGCCAGGCATGACCAAAGGTGGCCCCAGGCCAGAGGTGTGCGTGCCTTCTGACCAGGGCTCAGGGTGTGTGTGTCTGCCAGCCTGGCACCAGCGGAGGAGGACAAGTGCAAACACTGTGGCCAGTGGGGCAGGAGAAGGTTATCTGGGGCCCGGCAGTGGAAAAACTCTCGGTGTGTGACTAAGGCACAACAGTGCCAGGTGTGGGTCCAGGCAGGGCAAGGGAGCCGGGAGTTATCGCTTCCCCGTGGGTCCAGGTGCCTGAAGCCAAATGTTTCCTAAGGGTGCGGTGACAGCCACAGCCCCGTTATCGTGGCACCTGGCCCACCCCAAGCAGCACGGACACGGGACAGGCTGCTGGACCTTCCCCCCATGGCAGGGATGGGGCACTTCCCACTGCTCCTCCGATGGGAGACTCAAGCCCTGGGAGCGTACTTCAGCAGGGACACCTTGGTCCTAGGGACCCAAGCTCTGGCCTCATGGTGAGGAATGGTCTGTGTCAGCCTGTCCAAGCACCCCCAAACTATCCTCTCACCCTGGAGCACCCAGGCTGTATCCCACCCACAGCACTCTTGTCCCCTCCCCAGTTCCATGCTGTCCCCATGGACCACAGCATCCCAAAGGTCAAGCCCTGGCTAAGGAACCCTCAGATCTGCAACACTCCTTCTCCCTATGGATCAACAATCCCAGAGCAGCTGTGGGACCTGTTAGCTGTAGCTTGGGGGATTCCCATGAGCTGGGTCATGCCCAGGCAACAGAAACCCACTCAAGTTTCTCTTTCACCCCTCTCCAGCTCTGAAGACCCCCGGGCCCTGCTCCAACTGGCAGGTGCCAGGCCATGCTGTGGTCATGACTCACGTTTCTGCTGGGAGGTGTTTCTCCATACCTTGCTCCTTCCTTTACTCCCTTGCCTCGTCATTGGACCAGGTCAATGTACCCCAAAACCATGGGGCTTAAGAGTTACAGACATTTCAGGGATCTCTGCACTGTTCCCAGGGTCCTTTTTGACAGGAAGTGACCAAGGTGGAAAAGGAAGGGAGGGAGGCATGGTCTAGCTTAGGGAACTCCAGCTGACTGCAGGTGCACGCAGCACAGGGATTGCACCCTAGCTGTGCCTCCCTCAGTGCTGCCAAAGGTGTTTTCTTGCTGCCCTCATCACTTTGCAGGGCAGGTTTTGCTGGGGACAGGACTGGCCTCCCTCCTCCACTGGACAGTGTGTCTTGGCCCGGGCAATTGGAAGAGGGTGTTTTTTATTAACAACAAATTAACCGTAATTGTCTTTTCCACTACAGCCACTCCTCCCCAGCCGTGTGGTGATTCCCAGCCATGCTGGGCCATTTGACTGCCATTCCCCATTGTGTGCCTGAAGGAGTACCTTGCCCCAGGCACAGGGGAGCAAACCCAGGGCAGCTCTGTTTGGAGGAGCCAAAGCACCCTCCCCTGCTCTCGCCTCCCCGTGTAGGTAGTGGCAGCAGAGCCGGACCTCACTCCTGCCCTGGCACAGCAATGATGAAAGGCGAGAAAGAACTGGTTTGTGCTCTGATCTCAGAGCTGAACCTCAAAACAGCCGTGAACCGTCACTCCAGCTCCCAGGATGCTTAGGGAGGACAGGACAGCAGAGCCAGCCTTTCCAGTGGGACAGGATGGTTGGAGAAATTCATCGTTCCCCTGGAAATAAAAATAATAATCATAATAAAAACACAAAGCCAGAGATTACTTATACGCACACAAACACGCAGGCACGCACTCTCCCCATCTGGCTTTGCCAGCCTGACTCATCGCTAATTCAAACAGCCCACACCTTTCCCTCTCCCTCCATGTGACGTTTTGAACAAGTTTCCAGGGAAGAGGCAGAAGTTTTGCCCCAGCTATCCCCTGGCATTGTAGCCTTGTCCTTGGGTTCTGGTGGTCCCAGGAACAAGACATCCCCAGTACCTCATCAGAGGCCACATGTGTCCCAGCACAGTCACCCCTGCACAAGCACCTCTCAGAAAGTGGGGCAAGCACAGGGTGGAGGCAGCAGTGGAAAGGACAAGTGATTGAGCCTGATGGATCCTGACACCTGTGGATGCAGCCCCATGGTCCTGATCTCAAGCCTACAGGCAGAACATGATGTCCCTAGCTGCTGCCACCCTGCCTAGAATCACCCATTCTTTTGTTCCTGCTCGAGGGCAAACCACAAGGGTGGGTGCTGGTCCCAGAACAAAGAGCCCAACACCAAAATATTAGCCACTCCTCAGGGAAACATCAGACCTGCTCTGCCATTCCCATCTGAGCTGAAAAGGGTGGGATCAGCCCAGCTACATCCCACTTCCACTTGCAGGGCAAGCAGCCCCAGGGCACCCTCCAGCCCTGACCATCTGCTGGGGGTTGCAGAGATGAGGAGGAGGAGGGAGCCACTGCCACCACCGGCCTGGGCCAGGGCATCATAGAGCTTGTGTGCTCCCTGCACTGCCAGCATGGTGTCAGGTCTGGACAAGTTCCTGCCTTCAGAGGGATTCGTGCATCACAGGTAATCAGCTGTGGGAGGGAGGGAGGGAGGGAGGGATGGAGCCAGACCTGCTTGCTGAGCTCCGGGACCTGCCAGCATGCTTGTGCTGAGTCACCACCTATTAACGCAGGGAAACCTCAGCACCTGAACCCCGCCAAGCTGCCAGGACAGCAGAGACAGCACCCAGGACCAGCCAGCTGACACCAATGTCCCTGCCGGTTGTGACCACAAGGCCAGTACTGCAGAGCTCCCACTGTGAGGCACAGCAGGACAGGACTGCTCAGAAGAATTCAGGACCAGCAAGGCTCCCAGCTGAGTTTCGGCTGCCATTCTCCTTGGAGATGACTCACCGCAGGACCAGTCACACCATCCCAGTGCCGCAATTGCCCCATCTGCAGATTAGGGAAACTGAGGCACAGGGAAGTGGGGTGACTCAAGAGCTGTTGCACAGGAGATGCTACTCAGATGCCGAGGCTTGGGCGTTCCCCATCGATCCTCCGCAGCTAACTTAAGCAGAAATGAACATCGATGTAAATATTTACTGACAAACAAGCTCAGCCTCACCCTCTCCTCTTAGAAGAAACCTTTAAAGTAAACTCTCCTGGCTCTTTCATGTTTACATCTTGTTTATTTATTATACAGCAGATCACAATATTTCAACAGTTTGCATATAAAGAAAAGTAACATTTCAGAGTGCAAGAGACCTAACGTGCCCAAGCAGAGAAATGTTAATTAACAATATACACAGACGGGAACAGTGCACTTCCCAAAGCTGAGACTCATTGGTGTTCCCAGCTGGAAGAAAATATATTAAAAAAACCAGAAACATTATATATTACTGCTTTGTTTAATTTACAACTTGCTTTGCAGAAGCTGCACATAAAAAGACTCATTTTCTTTTGAGCTTTCTTTTTTGTCCCCCCCCTCTACAAAAATTTCAAGTATAGCAGAGACCTGGGCATTCATAGCTGGACTCACTGTCCTTTACATACTAAATTTTAAAAAGCAGCATGGGGAAGGCAGCTGCAGCAGTACCTGGTGTCATCCTGAGGGGAAGAACAAGACAAAATAAAGCAGACAAGAGCCAGGAGAGACATTTTAGGCTCTCGAGTGGAAAACTGGGAATGGCCAGGGCTGGACTGCCCAGTGGGGTCCCAGGCTGGTGACAGGAGCATCTCTGTCCTCTGTGCAAGGTGACACTGTGCTGCTAACTCCTGCAAACCTTTATAGCCATGAGCCAGTCAAATCCCACCCTCGTCCCATCCACTCTGGGCTTTGGGTCAGGAGGTTTGTTCTGATGATCACAACCGAGACAACCAGCAACCCATTTCCCAGCATCACAACCAACGTGCCCAACTGGCATGGCTCTGCAGCCAAAAAGCAGCCAGAGTCAGCCACCACAGCCCCTAGTGCCAGGGGGGTGCCAGAATCTGGGGGAAGAAGGTTAAGCTGATGCCAAATACAAGCCAGGAATTCTGGGGACAGATCCCTTATGCACCAGCTCCCCCACTCACTGGGTACCTGGCTGGGGGGAACCCTCCAGGCATGAGGAGCTGAGTGGTGATGACTGAGCAGATGTTCCTTGCAGTTTTGCTCCCCACATACATCCCCAAAGCAGCCCTTCCCCACCACTTGGCTGGGCCAGCTCTCACAGGAGCAGGAGGAGAAAACTAGTTATCAACTACAAGCAGAGGGGGCTGGGTGGCCAGGCTGCTCCCCACTGCCATCCCTGGCCCGACACTATTTACACCGTGAGCTGGCTCCGGGGACGTCGAGTCCGGCCGCAGCCGCTGCTCACATGTGCCGCTTCATGTGGAGAGCGAGGTGGTCGGAGCGGGAGAAAGCCCTCTCGCAGAGGTGGCACTGGAACGGCCGGTGCCCCGTGTGCTTGCGGTAGTGGCGGGTCAGCTCATCGGAGCGGGCAAACTTCCAGCCACATCCTTCCCAGGTGCAGTGGTAGGGCTTCTCGCCTGCAGAGGAGAGAGGGTGTCAGTGGGCTTGCAGGTTCCCACCCTCCCTGTGCCTTCAGTTCTGTGCTACCCTACCCAGCACCCCCTTTTCAAGGAGGTGGGAGGCCCATTGCACACCTCTGCCTGCCCAACTTTCCCCTTCTGTCCCCCGTTTTTCTGCCCTTCTCCATGTGCAAAAGTTTGTTTTCTGAGCATCCCTGCCCCATTACAGCACCCCTGCTTCACTTTAAACTGTGGGTGGTCCCTGCTGTGGGCTGGCACCACGTGCCCTGTCCCAGCTCGGCCAGAGGCTCTCACCATACAACCCCCAGGCTGTCTCCCTTTTCTGTTTTCCCCTAGCCCAAGTGGAGGGTTCCTCCTTGTCCCTAAGTCCTACCAACTCAGGCAACTCCGGGCACCAAAACCAGCAACTGGAGGCGCCACAAGAGTGGTCTCGCTACACGCCAGGTCCTTATGTGTCCCTGCCCAGCGCCACCACGGGGGTCCTTCTGAGCACTTCGCGGCCATCCGCATTGCCCCCCGAGCCCGCGTGGAGGAGTTCTGCGTGTAGCGATCTCTGGGTGCCCTCACACAGCCCCACCACGGGGACCCACCGTGCACTCCCGACACACCGCAGGGGTCTCCCCCACGCGACACGCCCCCCACCCCGGTGTCCCCTCCCGCGCCCCCTTCACACCGCCGGAGCCACGCTGGCGGGTCTCACCACGTGCCGCGGCACCGCCACCGGGACCCTCTGTGCGTGCCCCCGCCCCGGCCGCCCTTACCCGTGTGGGTCCGCATGTGCGCCTTGAGGTGCGAGCTCTTGGTGTAGGTCTTGCCGCAGCCCGGGTATTCACAGTTGTGCGTGGCCGTTCGCTTGCGCGCCCAGGAGCGGCGGCCGCGCTTGGGCTTGCAGTCCTCGGGGGGAGCCCCGGCCGGGAAGTACTCCAGCACCGGGGAGTTGGGCGGCGTGACCAGCAGCCCGGGCAGCCCGGCCGGGCCCGGGCCCGGCCCCTTCAGGGGCTCCCTGAAAACACTGAAATGTCCATGAAACTGCGGTGGCGGCTGGGGGGCGAAGTGGGGCGCATAGCGGTGCGGGGCCACGGCGTAGTGGGGCGGCAGGTCGGCCAAGAGGTGGGGATCGGCGCCAGGCAGCGGCTCCTCAGGGGGCCCCAAGCGGCCGTGGGGGAAGCCCGGGTAGGGCAGCGGCGGCCCCGGCACCGGTCCCGGCCCGGGACCCGGCGCCACGCGTGGCTTGTGCTCGCCGCCGCCCGGCCCCAGGTACTCGGCGGCGGGCATCCCCAGCATGCAGGCGCGCTCCTCCGGCTGCTCCTTCTTGATGCGGGGCCCGAAGGACTGCGCGGGGTCCAGGGGCAGTGGGCGGGCTAGGGCCGGGTGGAGGGGCGGGTGGTGATGGGGGTGAGGGTGGTGGTGGGGGCCGCCGGGCACCCGCAGCTCCGTGTACTCCCTCCGCTGCAGGTCGTAGTGGCCGGGCAGGTCCGGGGTGAGCAGCTCAGCCACGTAGCTGTGGCCCTGGCCCTCGGGGTAAGGCGCCGGGAATTTGCCCGGCGTGGAGTACGAGCCGTCGCTGTCGTAGGTGGTGCCACAGCTCTCGGGGGTCTCGGGCAGGGGGTAGTTGGGGCCGGTCGGCCCCTGCCCGCCACTGCTGGTGTGCGCCAGGATGAAGTCCAAGTCCACGAACTTGCCCAAGTCGTCCTCCTCCCGCTTGACGGCAGCGGGGCCATCCTGCTGCAGCATCCTCTGCGGGAAAACGAAGCGTCAGGATCGGAGGGGAAACGGCTGCGGCGGCACCCGCCGCCCCAACACCGCGGCCCGCGCCTCCCGCTCGGGGCGGCGGCTCCCCCCAACCCGTCCGACGGGTCGGCACCACTCCGGCTGCGCTGCGCCGCCCTCGGGGCGCCCTCCGACGGCGAGAAGGCGGCCCGCCCCCCGCTCCCTGGCCGGGCTGAGCCCCAGCCCGGAACGCTCTGTCCCGTACCCGCCTTGCCACCCTCTCCCCGGTGCCAGGTGCTTACGTGGAGCATGTCGGCGGGCCGCTCCTCTAGCGGCATCAAGTTGGCGAAAGTGGAGATCGAGGGCAGGGCGCTCTCGTCCACGGCCGCCGCCATGGCGAGCGGGGCCGGGGCGGGCTGGGGGAGCGCGGTGCGCGGAGCCCGGCACCGCTCCGCTCCCCGTGGCAGCCGCGCTGCTCTGCGCCGCCCCGCGCCCCTAAGCTGTTAACAGCATGGCTGCGCCCCGATTGGTCCGGCCCGCATTGATATTCGCCGCCGCCATCTGCCATTGGCTCTGCCGCGGGCCGAGCCACGCCCCTCCGGCGGGGCTGCCCCGGCGGGCGGGGGGCGGCGGTTGCCGCTGCCCCGACCGCGCTCGGAGCCCGCGCGGGACGGGAGAGGACGGGGCAGAGCGGCGGGGGCCCCACGCCCCGCTCTGCCCCGCTCTGCGGGACTGTCGCACGGCGGAGAACAGACAAGGGTGCTGTTGTGGATCGCGGAGGCCAGAATCCTGCCCGCGACGTGAACGGGGCAGCGGCGCCCCCAGGGCTTGCCCACACTGCGAGCGGGGAGGGGGGCTGTAGGTGGCGGCGCCGGAGGTACCCTGGCACCCTGTCCCGAGTGGGGCAGGGGCAATGGCTCTGTCACATACACCCTGTGTGGAGGCAGAGAGCGCCGGAGAGGTCTGGCGTAGGGGTACGGGTAAAAAACATTTCATGCGCTGTGCCGGACACTACACTCGCCACGGGGCCACCGAGCGCGTCAGCGAGCGAAGGTGCAGTCCCAAAAAGGGGTGCTGTGCCACCATAGGAGGTGAACCAGATAACCGAGCCCCGGTGCCCCCGCACCCCCACGCGATTCGTTTCATGTGAGCGCACCCGTGAAGCCGCGGCTGTCGGTGAGGCAATCAGCAGCACAGCGCGTACCAGCTCGCATCTGGCTGCGTGCAGCGTGCGTGTGCGAGCCCAGATAACTGCTCGTCGACCCTGTCGGGGGCTGGCACGCTGCCGGCATCTCCTCATCTCGCCCCGCAGTCCCCACAACACGTTTGTCTGCCCTCCTTAGGGACAGTGCTGTGGCTGAGTCTCCAACCACCCTGGCACTGGGGGGCATGGGCCGGCTGTGTCACCCTGCCCACCCTGAGCAGCCCCTGGGACAGCGCTGCCCTCCTGAGGGCTTCCCATGGCAGGGGACAAGGACCAGCAGGTTATCCCACTTTGCAGGAGATATTCAAGTCACCCACCCTATCCTAGCTGTTTGGATGATGGCACAGAGGACCCAGGGCACTGGGCAGGCCTCCCCAGGGGCTCTCTGCCTCCCTGTCTGGCTCACAGCAAGACCTTCTCCGTTTGGCCCCCATCCAACCAGTACCAGGAATGGCCCTGCTGCTGTTGCGCTCAGAAGCAATGTCCCTTATCTCTTGGAGCCTGTCTCCTTGCTTTCTGGAGCTGTCCATCTCCAGATACCTTTCTAAGAACTGAGGCTGCTGCCTGCTCTATTCAGAAGCAAGGAGTCAATTTAAAAAAAAACAAATATAAACACCAAAGGTGAGGTGTGCACACACACCACACGCACATGCCGCTTCTGAATCCAAAGCTACTCTACCAGTTGCTTTCATCACCGCGCTTTAATTATAAGGGTGGAGCATTGCAATAAATTATTTCAGTAATCCAGTGGAACAACAACAATTCAGATCTTCCCCCTTTTACCAAGAATCCCTGCCCTGGTTTCCAGAGCACATGTTGGGCTGCTGCCTGGGCCCCATCTGCTTGTCTGCTGGCAAGGCAGCAGGTTTATTAATGGCACCTATAGGGTCAAAACGCACGGGCTCCAAAGTCCTTCCTCATAAAAAGCCACCTCCAAAGTGGCAAAGAAGCATGTAGGCATTACCTGAAATTACTTTTAGCTTGCCTCCCAGAGTAGTTTATTCAAGTCACCAGTTAATCCCATTACTTGTTTCTTGGCCAAATAATAATTAATAGCAAGGCAGTTCCTGCCCCAAACTTTTGCAGATAAGTCAGAGAAGATGCCATAGGAGACAGACTAATTCGTCTTGGTTTTCCCCTTTTCCAGGCAGTTTTGGCATTTGCACCCATGCTGACTTATTTTGAGAGGCGTCGCCAACAGATCAGCTTAATTTTTACAGCCAATAATTCTTGCAAATGTGGGATATTCCCCAGGAAACTCTTTTGACTGATGCTCCGGTGGGAGGGCCAGCGCGGCGGGGAGCGGCAGCATGCCAGGCACCGCAGCAACACAAGCACTGCCAGCGCTGAGTGTGCAGGGAGCCAGCAGTGCGTCACGGGCAGGGTTTTCCTGCTGTGAGCCATGGGCTGGGCACAGGGGGTCCCTGCCACAGCCTTGTCAGCCCCTTGGCCACAGAAGCCCCCTCTGAGGTGAGTGGCAAGCAGGAGCAGACAGTGCATGCATAGCCCGCTGTTGACAGAAGCCCATTTAGGAAACGTGGGTTATCTCCTGCGCCACTACAGCAGACTGTAAAGTTGCTGGCATCCCAAGAGATCAAACAGCAGCCAGGCAAGAGAGCAAACAGAAAGTGGGAAGGGCCACCCACCCAGGTGATGGCTAAAGAGGAAAGGGTTAATGGTTATCCTTGCTTTTGGCGCATCTGGCAGCAGAGGAATGAGGAGCCTGGCTTGCCCAGCATGGCGTGCCAGAGGTGGCCCTGTCAAAACAAGAGTATTGTCAGCCCTGCCAACACTTCCACAGTGCCATGGCACCCTCCCCAGTGGTACACAGCATGGGTGGGATGGGCAGGGGGACAGTGCCCTGTGGCACTGCCAGAGATGGAATTTGGTGCCCAGGCTGCTCAGCAGGACTCCCAGGAGACCCTACCCCACAAAACATTGGGGCTGAAACAAACCTGCACTGCATCCTTTTCTGTGCTGTCACCTGGAGTTGGGAGACTGGAATAAACCCAAGGACTCTCCTTCAGAGCATCTCTAGTGCCCCCTCTCCAACACCACCTACAGCATCACAGCCCAGAGAGCTTCTGCTTCAGTGGGTAGGCAAAATCCAAGTCCCAAAAGCTCCACAGGAGACCCCATGAGAGGTGCTGGGGGATCCACACTGCAGAACACCCTAAACAACTGTGACATTCCAGGGTTATATTCCTGAGAGCAGAAAATTAATCTGGCTGTGTTTTACTCTCTGTCTTCCCCTCTGCATGGTACTGACCTGCCTAGAGAAGTGTCCAGGAGCCCCCAGACCTGCCTGTACCCCCAAAGCCCCATTCCCCTCCTGAAAAGAGAAGAGGAACTGAAAATGAAATTAAAGCATAATTCAATCCGGAGCGGGTCCAGAGTAAAGTCATCTGCTCTTATCGTGTGCTGGCAGGCTCTTCCCGCTCCGCAACAAACACAATGTTATCAGGGCACAGAGGGCAGATTCGTTTGCACCGGCCGAGAAAGCTGCTGTGTCCGCCCTGCCTACCCTGGGGTCTGGGGAGCACCGGGATGCACGGCTGAGGACCGGGGGCTGCCAGGGACTTGGGGAGATCCGAGGCAGCACCCCGGCAGCACCGACAGGGAGCTCAGTCCCAGGACAGGGTGCTTTGGCTGGAGGCCATATCCAGGCTCCCTGCGCAGCTCTCTGGCCACAGGAGACAGGTCAGGTTGCTCACAGTGAATGTCAGCACAGAGTAAAGGCTACAGAGGGACAGGGTCCGTGGGAGATGTCTTTGCCTGTGGGAATATACCCAGCCTCATCTTCCATGGGTGCTGCCCAGCTGCTTGGCCAGGAGGCTGCCAAGCTGGCAGATCTTGGCATCCTACCCCTGGCCAAGCAGCCCAGTGGCACCCCCAGACCCTGCACACACTCCCAGCCCCACTGCATCGCGTGGACTGCATTCTGCTTTGATCTCTGCCTGCTGCCTGGCTGTGCCCTGGTGGCTGCGAGGCCAGTGCAGCCCTCTCCGTCCCTCTTTATATACCCCTGTTATTTTTAACTCTGCCTACGCAAATCCCGAATCCGGAATGAGCAGCGGCCGGGGGCCAAGGGGAAATGGACATGGTGCAAATTTCCTGCCCTTTTTACCTCTCTTCCTCTATAACATACAGCAACGTTTTTCCTCCACTTCTTAACTTTCACTGGTACAGGAAAGCTGAAAGCTCCAGGCTCTGCACAGAGCCACAAGGTCCAGCACCACAGCGGACAGGGTATCCCACTCGGGAGGGACATCGCACTCAGCATGGTGCCAGGAGATGTCCCTCCCCGCAGCACACACCACAGGCTCCATCAGCAGTGCGATGCGCTGGAGGCATCCGGACAGCCCTCGCAGCCACAGCCTCACGTGCAAACACGTGTGCTCATGTGCCAGCCCAGGGGCCCATCCTTCCTTTCCTCTGGCCAGCAAGAGCTCTGGCCCCAGCCACAGCAGCTGGGACTGGACCACAGCCATGGGAGCCGTTCCCTTTTGCCCCTCGCAAAAGTGCTGGACAAGACCTGTGACACCCCAGCAGCTCCAGGAGTAACAGCAGGAATTGCTGTTTTCCTTGTGAGCAACAAGGACGAGGAACATAAGACATTCTTCCAAAATCTCTGGTTTAATATTTTTTAAAAAGACACAACACAGAGTGCCACAGCAAGTTGCACAGGGAGTTTTGCAGATATCATGGTATGGCTGCAGTGCCCATGGGATGTGCATGTTAGAACCCTTCTCTCACATTCTGGAGATTAATAGCTGTACATAATGTAAAAGCAATTTGTCTACAAAAGTTCCCAATGGCCAAGGTAAACATCTCTGCCACTCTTTTCCAAGCAGTGTCCAATGGACACTCTAACGTATTCAGTGTCCAATGAACCTGGATTCTCAGTGAGTGGGGAATACCTCTCTTACCATGCACAGGGGCAGGAAAAGTGTGGATGCTGAGGCTGGTGCTGGTCAGACCTGATCCACTCAGATATATACCATTTCCCAGCCTGGAGAAAGCCTGGCTAGCCCTGGAACCTGGGCACTGGTGTGGCTGCAGTATCCAGGCACTGCTGGGCCAGTGGGGGAACAATTTTCCAGTGGGAGCTGTGGGATAGGGCTGAGTGAATGGTCTGCACCACGAGTCACTGGCACCCATGGGGACACAGCTCGGTGTGAGGCAGTGGGGGACAGCCCAGGTGACAGCAGAACAAACAGGGAGCTGGAGAGCTATGTGTGGAAACCGTTTTCCAGGTAATTTGATTTTGTTATTCCTCCCATGCAGCTATCTGCCCAGAGGCACCCCACCAGCGTAAATCACACACCATAGCACATTGCATGGAAAACTCATCCTGCCACCATCCCATGCCCCTGGGACACTGCACCAAGGGCGCCACTGTAGCACAGGATGCTGGAGTCAATCACAGTCAGCCACATGAGGCTGCTGCAGTGGTTTTACAGAAACAACCCACAAAACTGCATCCTCCCATCCACAACACTCGTGGGGTGTCTGGCAGGATCAGTGGGCACTCTGTGTTGGGAGCAAATCCCTCTGCACTGGCATTACATAGGGTGCTTCATTCTGCTCCAGGAAGTGGCATTTAATTACCCAGCCTCCTGGTAGTAAATAGGTTTCCAACACATTACAAAAGGCTGTATTACATTTTTTTTTCTCCCCAGCCTTGCTCATGCTCTGCGCCGGTGAGCTCATCCCCTGGGAATACCGTCTCCAAAATAGATTCACTCCCTTGTTGGAAATAATCAAATGGGAATCCAAGCTGCTGAGCCCAAGCCCAATTCCTCCCTTTGTTCTGGGGCTCTGGCAGTGAAGGGGTTCGGAGCAGGGTGACAGGAACTCGCCTTCTTTTAATTGACCTCCGATGATGAAACAATCAACCAAACGATTTAGAAATGTGCATCCAGTGAGATCATCAGGAAAAACTTCTCCACAAAGGGGCCTGGGGAAAGGAAGGTGCAGTAATCCACCTGCCCCAGCCGCCTCGGCAGGCCTCACTGCGTGGCACAACATGGCACAGCATGGCATGGTGTGTCACAGCCACTCAGTGTCTCTTGGGCTACCTTGCTGTGGCTTCATGCCAGAAGCTGCCTCACTAGGTCCACCATGGGGAAAGAGTACAGCTAGACCTGTCCCAGTGAGGACATCTGCTCCCATGGGACATCTATCCTCCTTGTTTCCAGCCCCAGCCCATCCTTGGCTACTGGGCACCCACTTATCCCAAGCCAGCACCAAGTGGTAGTGCTGCCTGTCTCCACCCCCAGACTCACTGCGAGTCCTGCCACCCCACCAGGCATTTCTAGGACAAGATTCCATGATGTTGTGGGGGAAAAACCCTCCCAGCCCCACGAGCAGCGCCTCTCTGGGGATTTCCATCTCTTGCACCCTTTCCCCAGTTTTTTGTAGCCTGGCAGGAGGGAAGCCACCCGGGAAGGGCTGGCATGGCTCCCTGGCCCCAGCTGCGCCACTGGGGCTGCCCCGGCTTCCCCAGCCCAGGTCAGTGCACGCTCCAGCTTGGCATGTGGCAGGCACTAATTTTCGCCCAAAGGGTTTCCCTTCAGCAGACTCTGCCGCCAGGGTGGTTTTGAAGACAATCTTAGCCAGAGTCTTCCTTCCTCGACTGCCAGCGATCTGGAGCCAGGCTGGTGTGTTTGTGTTGTGTGTACATGTGTGTGTGTGTATCTCCAAACCGCAACAAATATTTCATATTCGTTTTCTTTCTTTCCCTTTTTTTTTTTCCCCCTCCAAGCCCTTGACTGTGGTATTTAAATAGTAGGTGTGGTCCCGGTGATGTGTGCCAAAACCAACACCAGTTCCACAGCAGATAACCCTGCGAGCAAATGCAGCAGCGAAACCACACTGAACTGCTGGGAGAGCTGTGCTGGGATGGGCAGTGCTCTGGGAATGGCCACGGCATGGCCCTGGGCAGGCTGGCAGCAAGCGGGCACAGTGGCCACATGGCTCCCTGGCCCAACACGAAAGCTTAGCCAAGGGGCCAGGAGGAGGTGGTGGACTCAGCACGTCCAGCTGAAGAGCCATGCACTGGCTGCTCACTGTGTGCAGCCAGGAGTTGTTTGGGATGGACCCAGATAGCCTTTTGGGGTTTGGTTTTTTTATATATCAAGGCAAAACATGTTACTTAATCATCTATTTTCCATGCTCTAAACAATCAGAAAGATTTGTTTGTTAAAAAGGCTACATTTCTCCCCCAAAAACGTAGAGTGTGAGCAAGTGGGAGAAGTTCCTCCAGCATTTTAAAAGCTGTTTGCAAAGAAACTTTCTTACGCCCTGATGTTTTTCTCATCCAAGCTGAAAACCCTGAAATATAGTGAACGTCATGTATTTCAGCATGAGTCACCCAGAGAGAACCAGCTGCGTCACCTTCCCTGGCAGTGCTGGCTGTGCCTGTGTATACTGGGGACAGTGAGGATGGAGGGGACCTCTGGGCGCTCTTCATCCAAGGATGGATAGAGATAAGTCAGTTCAGGCAGGAGAGGAATGAAGAAGGATTGCTGCAGACCCGAACTGGAATGCCACCCTCCCCTTCCCTGGGGCAACTGCCAATTTTGGAGATGGAGAGGGGTTGCCTTGGAGTACCCATGAAGTTTTGAAGATTCATGGTGTGAGCATAATGCCCAGGAAGTCTGCAAACTCATCCACAGGGGAGTGCACACAGTGCCACAGGCAGTCAAGTGAGGGCCACAGCACCCCAAATCCAGGACAGCCTATGCCTCACTGCTGCTGTCCCCCCAGAGTAGCACCCACATCCAAAAAGACAAAGGAAGTTCCTTATTACAGCCTTCAATCCCCCAGCTTTCCACAGGGCTGGCAGGGCACCATGTTTCTTGGAGGGTTTGTTCTCATAAGATTTTGCTCCAGACAGGACCTATTTGCATTCTGCAACCTGTGGGACAGTGGGCCAATGTCCCGGGACAGAGACTAGGGGAAGCCTGAGCTTTTCCAGACCTGGCACTCACATCCCACTCTCCTCCTTGCTTCCTGGGTGGCTCTGGTATGGCATACCCTGTTTGCTCCTGCCCTAAGCCAGTGCCTTGTGGGAAGTCAGCAGAAAGGGCAGTGAGGTGGACAGTCCCTAGAACACTCACCTGCTGGGGACAATGCCAGGAGATGGGGATGCTCCTCTCCAGCTGAAACCCAACACCCTGCCCAGAGGATAACCAGGGATAAGTGTCCCTGGGCTGGACGGTGCCTGGGGGTGGCCACAGGCTGCTTGTCCCGGAGCTGAGCTGGTGCACGGCCACAGCCAGGCGTGTGGCAGGCACAGCCAGCACACCTCTCCCTGCCTCCCGGCCCCGCCGCAGCTGCCTCTGGAGAGGAGCCGGCCGGGCGTGCAGCCTTCGCCAGCAGCACAAGGTGCACAGCCAGCGGGGCGAGGATCCACCCAGCCCGTGGCAGAGTAGGAGGGTCCTTGGCAGACAAGGCTCTGTTTGAAAACCCACAGCCAAGCCGGCTCCCTGCCCGACCTCAGCGCGTGCTCTGGCTACGGGCAATCAGCCTCGAGCCCAAACCCAACCTCTAGTGGCCTCCATTTTCCCTGGCTCCATCTTCCCTGACCTGCCTCAGTCCTGCTTCACCACTGCCTCCCACGTGTCAGCTCAGTGCGGTGTCCTGTGGCTCCCCAGGGACCTGTTGGCCCCACTGGCACGTGTCCCAGCGTGGAAAAGAAAATAAAGTTCGGATGTCACCTCCCCAATCAAGAGTGGAAAAATCTTTCCCAAAAAACACCGTTTTAATCCCTCACTGAGCATAGCCAATGTTAGAGTCCCCAGCCCCACAGATTCAGAGCCAAACAGGGAATTTTCCACCTACATCAAAGCAGAACCATATGATTTTACAGGAACAGACATGGAGGTTGTGTCCTGTGCACCTGCCTGCCTGTCTTCTTGTTTTGGAAAATTGCAGTGACCACGAGGGACTGTGCAGGATACCGAGGTCCCCTGCTCCACACGATGTTGTTTCAGCCCCTCCTGCCTACCCCAGCACCCTACGTACTGTACTGTGAGGTGTAGGGACCCTGGGGGCTTTCCCAGTGATTACCCTAAATCCATCTCCCCTCCAGACATGTAAAATGGATGAGGCCTGACTGAGCTCATGGCAAATGTGATGGTGAGGAGGCTGCTCTGCCTACAGCATGGGAACAATTGAAGGGGGTGGAGAGGGGATCTCAGGGGTTTAGAGTCTACCCCGGACCTACTGCTGCCCCCCATGCATGACCCTGCATCCCTCCCTCTGCTCTGAAGGGGAGGATGCTGGGGGACAGGGGCAGTTTCTAAGGGGCTGAAGTGAGGTTCTGTGGCACACAGAGCTCTCTCCATGGAGCTGGGGGACTCCACAGGGCTGTTTGTTGAGCTGTTCCTGGGTCAGTGGGCAAGGGATCACATGGGGAGAGCCCAGCCCTGCATCCCAGGCTTTCCCCAACACCAAGCCCTTTGTGGAGACTTCCTTCACAAACTTACAGCCCAGGGGTGGGGGATAGGATCCATGGGTAGGTGGGCAGCTTGCCTCCCACCCAAGGTTGCCACATCCTAGTGGCCCAACCTCACTCTTAGTCCCTTGGTGGATTTAGGAAGCCAGGATGCCCCTAAAATTACTCTAACCTGGCTTTGCCCCATTAAGCCTGTTCCAATTCACTTGGTGCACACGGGCCACCACGGGCACAGGGACTTGGGGGTACCCGGCCATGCCTGGTTACCTCCCCCACACCATCAGTGCCCTGGGCAGGGTATCGCTCCTCCAGCCCTCCGGTGTGGGTCAGGTGGCTGTACCTTCCCTTCCCGCTAGCCCAATCTGATGCACTTCAAAGCCGGGCAGGAGCACGGGCCGCCTGCCCCGGGGACATTAGTGTCAGGCAGGGGGACATCCAGGCAGCCTCGGCTGCCGGTGGGGATGGTAGGAGATTACTTCGGGAATCTGCACTTCCCGTAAAGAGGCTGATTCCGGGAAGGAACCCCGGACAGGAGCCATCAGCGGGACCATTACGGGCCACTCCAGCCATCTGGAACTTTTAGTCTCCAGCAAGGTCTGCTCCCACGGAGGGTGATGTGTGGGGGTTCTTCTGCTCTCCAAGTACACAATTGCAGGGTCATTTGCATCTAAAATGGGAGCTGGGCTCTTTAGCAGCTCCTCTGCTCCTGATAGGGGCTGGGAGCCTGCTCGGGCACTAAACCCGTTAATGCAATCAGCGGGGCCGGGCTCTGCACATCAAAGATCCCCGGCTCCCTTATAGCAGCCTCCCGGCCACAAACCTCTCCTCGGCCACCTTTCATCACTGCCGGAGCGGCTGTCACCCCTCTCCTGGGGAGCTGTGGCTGGGGGAAGTCCAAGGAACAGGGATGATGAAGGGCCACCAGGCCTCCTTGAGTGCAGGATGGGGCCACTGCTGCATCCTTGCCTGCACCCCTCTCATGGAATCATAAAATTATTTGGGTTGAAAGAGACCAAAGACCATCTAGTTCCAGCCTGCCTGCCATGGTTAGAGACACCTTCCACTAGACCAGGCTGCTTAAAGCCCCATCCAGCATGGTCACTCCCTCACTGCTGAAGTCTCCTTCCCTACAGGACTTCTTTTGTCCCCATTCATGTCGTGCAGGAACATGACCATGGAGAGACTGGGGAGGGGCACATAGCCCCCACCACTGACCCGAGGGAACCATGGGGCCAGCACAGGACAGGAGCACCCACAAACACTGACTCACTAATGGGGTTACAAATAACATCTGAAAGGAAACTGGCTGAGGCAGCCCTGCCCCACATTCTCTGCACCAGGGAGTGGCACCATCTTCATCCCACTGCAAGGTGTCCCTAGAGAAAGGACTGGCAGCCCTGGTGCCACGTACCAACTGTGAGAGTGCTGCTTGGCATCCATGTAAGAGGGTGCTGGATGCTGGAGGCTCAGCTGGGTGGTTCACCTCGGGGTGCTCTGGCTGGGGCTGCTCCAAGGCGTGCTTGCCGACCAACCAGCATTTCCTCCTGTTGGGAAAGTGCTTTCCTCCTTGTTCTTCCTCTGCACCCCCAGGGTTACCACAGAGAACCTTCCCTGGGAGTAGAGAGGACGCTGCCCAAGGTGGTATCACACTGCACCTGCAGGCAGGAGAGACCTGAGCCATCCCTGAATCCGGAGGCATGCACTGGGTACTCCCACACCATGGGCTGGTGGTCCTGCTCCTGCTCAGGCAGACCCTAGAGCACCCTTGGGTCACTGCATAGTCCTTGCCACAGGCAGGTACTGGAGACCATGCCCTCCCTGGATGGGCTTCTGGCTTCAGCTCTGCTCAGGTCAGCTTACAGCAGGGTCTCGGTCTGCTGAAGGGACAGCACAGTGCTCCTGGAGGGACATGAGGACACCTACTCAAAGGCACAGGGGTGCTGGCTGTGCTGGCTCGGCGCCATCCAGGGCGCTGGCCCACGGCTCCTGGCCAGCAGTCACTGCTCATGGCAAACACAGCTGCTTCCCCATCCTTCTCCGTGCCCGGCTCGTGGCGCCAGAGCCTGTTGCCATATGGTGCTGATGTGTACACAGAGCCTGGGTACACACAGTGTGCCAGGAGCGCTCGCACTGGGGTCTGCCTGGCCTCAGGGGGACACAGCACCCTCCAAATGGCTGCACCTTTTGGCAAGGAGCGGGGTGGGGGCCCTCAAGTGCCTGTACAGGGGATGGGGGCTCACCACTGGCTGAGCCGTGTCTGATCTGGCCTGCTGGAGATGGGGATGGGCTCCTGGCATGGTCTAGAGCTGCTCCCCCCATGCTGGTGGGGACCTCTTGGGGCAGTGGTGTTTTTTCATGGTTTTTTCATGCCTGCTGGTGGTTTGGTGCTCCCAGTGCAACCAGTGGGGTGCCAGGTGGCTGCAGCGGTCCCACCCTGGCAGGGAAAGCTGGCAGTGACTCACTACCCTCACCAGCCCTGCCTGCTGGGTGACTCCTCCTGCAACCCATCCCACTGCTATTGCCAGCCCCTGCTCCGTCCACGGGCCCAGATCCTTTGGCTGGGCTGGCTGCCACCCATGGGGGATAACCCCTGAGCCTGGGGACCCCACACCCATGGCCAAGGCTGTGCCATTGACACCCTGTTCCTGTGCCCTGGCTTGGTGGTGCCAGATTCAGGACAGGGGCAAAAGAAAGTCATCCTCCACTCCTTTTTCCCTGTTTTTCTGCCCTCTCGAGGGGAATCCCTAATCTCTTCCACAGAGACCCTCCATCCTCCTGCTCCCAACCAGTGCATAGGACAGGGAGAGGGGGAGCCCTGTTGGAACTGTTCTGGTCCTCAGGGCAGCACCTGGGGCTGAGCTGAGCCCTACTCAGCCCACACCTCACCCAGCTGCCCTAGGGCTCTCAGGGATGTGTGCATCCTGGGGGAAGGATGCAGGCAACATTTGCATGCATCCAGGGAGAAAGGAAAGTCATGTTGGGATGTGTCCCAATTGTAAATTGCCATTTTGGGAGAGGGGTTGTGGGTGTGGGAGGGGTAAACGGGCCAGATAGGGATGAGGAAGTAGGCAGAAGGTGAGGAGGGGACTGGCTTTGGAACCCTCCCCAGGAGGTTCCATAGAGTTTAGCTCCCCTGCACAGCTGCTGTGGCAGCAAGTGGGTCCCTTCAGAGCAACAGCCTCCTGCAGCGTGTGATGTGCTCTGGTCTTGCCACATCCAGCGTGGCAGCAAGCCCAAGAGGAGCCCTGAGTGTGCATGAGGCTTGCCCCCCCCCCCACTGATTGCAGCAGAGAGGACATGGGATGATGCCCAGGGTCTGGCAGGAGCAGGATGGGGGCTGGGGCCAAGCCCTGCTGTCCTGCACAAGTCCTGCAGGCACCCAGCTCCCAGCCAGGACCCACAGGATGCAGGAGCACTGATGCAAAGACAAGAATGCAGAGGCACCCATGCTTTGCTTCTCCATGCACTCCCATGGCTCACGATGCATTGCATGAACCAGTGCACGGAGCCAAGGACCTCGAAAACAGCGCTCCAGAGGAGTGTGGGGTGACAGCACAGGTGATGGCTGGGAGCTGCAGGAGAGGTTGTGGTTGGTGGGACCTGGTGGGGTAGGCAGGAAGAGGTAGGAAACTGGACATCAGCTCTGCTGGGCAGTGCTAATGGGGGGGATTCCAGGGTGGTTTGCGTTTTTGGGGGTCTCCTTGCAGCCCTGCTGGGAAGCTGGGTACAGTGAGGGGAGGAGCAGAGGGATCAAAGAGGTGGGGGAGTGGAGAAGCTCGTGAGTTGTGGGTCATTATCTGCTATTAACATCTGTAATCTCCCAAGAGCAAACTGAGATTTACAGCCTGTTATTAGGCTGTTACTCAACCTGTTGTGCAACAGCTCAATTTAAAAAAAAAAAAACACACACACACCAACCCGAACGTGATTAATAGCCTGCTAATAAGGGGGAAATCTCTCCTATTTAATTCAAACAGCCTCTGCCTAGGCACTCCAGGAAGGTATGGGCTCTCAGCCCAGATTCCCATTCTGGCTGCTGGGCTCCTG